ATATCTCTTAAATGATGAAGTAACGCTGGTTCCCAGCAAGAACTGAATGCTCTAAGCGCTTGTTTGCTTCAACATATCTTACTCGCAAACTCGAAAAATCAACAAATGAAGAAGTAATATGGAAAGCATAGTCCTCATTCACGCACTACTTTTAGTCAAAAATCTGACAGCCCAGAAGGACTTGCGAGAAATTTTGTCGTACGAAGCAAGAAGTGAGGAGAAAGGTAGGCCTTGTGAACGCCTGGCAAGCCTAAAAGCGATGCGATAAGGCAAGAAACCTAATCAGGCGCGACGATAGCGCAAGCTAGGCCATAATAGGCCGTCGCAGGTCAACAACCGTCATGAATGTTTGAATTGGATACGGAGGGCTTGTCACGAGCATTAGTTCGAACATTGATCGCTTCGCTCATCCCTAGATTTTATGATCCGCGAAAGGAGAACAAAGCGCAGAAAATTCGAGAAGATCGCAACATTAGCTTTCTTTCTGGTAAATTTGAAGAAAGGAAGAAGTTGAGAGAGGAAAGAATGCCTGACGTGACCTTTACAATGGCAGTTCAGGTCGGTCCTCCATGCCACGTGGACAAACGAGTATACACATGTGCGAACATGTCAAAACAAGAGCTGAATCAGAATTTGCTAGGGAATAGCTCTTGACGAAGCAAAAGGTTTGCACAACTTAAAAGTAGCTCTATGCAGGACAATCTGAAAAAAAAAAACGCCAGCGTTTATTCTTCGGGCGGAGTAATCATGCATGGTGTGAATACACAACTCACACCAAACTTCCGCGAAAAATCGCTGCCATATTTCGGTATTACAACTTCGAGATAAACTAGAACTGGTATATAGAGAGTTTGGTTTACGAACCGCTGTGTACAGCGCATTCAAAACTTCCGCGTTGTAATGAAGCTCCATTAATGCAAAAGAGTACGTTCGGTACGATCGGTATGTTGTCTCCTGATGATTTTTGGGTCTCTAAACTGCGTCTACGGCGTCGGTATCAGTATTATTATTTGAGTAACCAATGTTAACAACAAAATAACACCAGGGAAAGCACAACAACTGGAGGGCATTCGAAAAATCGTGACACGGCGCGACACGCACGCACCTCCAATTCTTCCACTTCCACTTCTATTTCTACTCAAATAGTTTTTCTGCTTACACATGATAGTATTCAGACACTGGAGGTGACTGAGCCGAGCTTTAAGGTTGCCCGTTGGTATGGATTTTTTATTCTCCTGTATGCGCAAAGAGCGCAGTCAACTCGTCGTCACGACTTTAAGAATGAACCATAGAT